AGAGAGAGAAAAAAACATCCTCTTTTTAAAGAAATTAAGAGTCGAGAACGGTACAACGAATCGTCTTCTTTCTCTAATGATTGAATGAAACGTAAAAGCTTCCGCGCTTCGCGCGGGCGGGGGAAGGGAAAACTGAATTCAGATGAGGATTAAAAGTCGAAAACGGTACAACGAATCGTCTTCTTTCTCTAATGATTTAATGAAACGTAAAAGCTTCCGCGCTTTGCGCGGAAGGGGGGAAAAGGAAAAACTGAATTCAGATGAGGATTAAATGTCGAGAACGGTACAACGAATCGTCTTCTTTCTCTAATGATTTAATGAAACGTAAAAGCTTCCGCGCTTCGCGGGAGGGGGGAGGGAAAAACTGAATTCAGATGAGGATTAAGAGTCGAGAACGGTACAACGAATCTTCTTCTTTATCTAATTAATCAATGAAACGTAAAAGCTTCCGCTCTTCGCGCGGGGGGGGGGGGGGGGGACTGAATTCAGACGAGGATTAAGAGTCGAGAACGGTACAACGAATCGTCTTCTTTCTCTAATAATTTTATGAAACTTCAAAGCTTCGGCGCTTTGCGGAGGAGTGAGGGGGAAATCGCCCCTCCCTGCCCCCCCCCCCCATTACGCCAATGCTGGTCACCATTACGTACCAATGTTTGGCTCGCATAATTTCAAATTTGTCCCCCCCCCCCTAAGAAATCCTGGATCCGCGCCTGTCCTATGCTTTCCAGAAAGGACTCAGAATTGTCTATTTGGTCATAGATAAGTTTTTTTTAAAGTTAATTCTCCTTTAAGAGAAAACAAGGAATATGACTTACAATGCGCTTCCTCCCCCAATGAGACATTTGTGTTGATGTTCCTGTGGTAGTACCATTATACATCATTTTCTAAGTGATGGGACTCAAAATAAAGAGTTCGATTCTTCCTGACGAAATACTCAATCTTTATGTTACTACTTGAAAGTGTGTCGTCTTATTTCGGAGTTCATTATAATAAAACACTACAGTTTGCAGCTGTCAGTATTTCGAAATATGTCAAATTCTTTTACTTTATAGTTGTCAAATTTAGCATGTGCGTGCATGTATGTATGCATGTATAAATTTATGTACATGTGTTTGGGTATGTGTGTGTTTGTTGTTTGTTCGTTTGTGTGTGTGCGTGTGTGTGTGCGTTTGTGTGTGTGTGCAGGGGCGTCGCTATACCTTTTTCAGTGGGGGGGGGGGTGTAGAGGCCAACGATTACTGACAAAACTAGCCACCAATTACCGACAAAGTTAAATGTCCAATATCTACAAATTCAACCCTATAAACCTGGGGCCGAAAGCTAAATTGTTTTTCCTATGGACTATCTATAGTACAAAATGGTCATTTTTCTCGACTACATAAATATACGAATTATTTCTTCAATTTAGTTAGCATCATAGCTATATATTTTAATGCAGGCGTGGAGCTAGGATCTTATTTTAGGGAGGGGCGTTAGTGAGCAAGAGAATCACTTAAAAGCGCGCTCATTAGGGGGTGTGAGTGATGGGCCTCCCGCGCGAAGCGCGGAAGCTTAGGCGTTTCCTTAAATTATTAGGAAAAGAAGACGATTACTTGTACCGTTTTAGACTGGTAATCCTTGGCTGAATGAAGTTTTCCCCCCTCCCGCGCGAAGCGCGAAAGCTTTGACGTTTCATTAAATTATTATAAAAAAAAAAAAAGCTTTGCTGTACCGTTCTCGACTGTTTATCCTTTTCTGAATTCAGTTTCCCCCCTCCCGCGCAAAGCGCGGAAGCTTTGACGTTTCATTAAATTATGAGAAAAAGCAGACGATTCGGTGTACTGTTCTCGACTCTTAATCCTTATCTGAATGAAGCTTCCCCCTCCCGCGCAAAGCGCGGAAGTTTTGACGTTTCATTAAATTATTAGAGAAAGAAGACAATTTGTCGTACCGTTTTCGACTCTTAATAAGCCCTATTCATCTGAATTCAGTTTCTCCCTCTCGCGCGAGAGCTTTGACGTTTCCTCATATTATTAGAGAAAGAACACGATTCGTTGAACCGTTTTCGTCTCTAAATAAGCCCTATTAATTTTGTCTGAATTCAGTTTCCCCCTCTCGCGCGAAGCGCGAAAGCTTTGACGTTTCCTTAAATTATTAGAGAAAGAAGACGATTCGTTGTACCGTTCTCGACTCGTCTAAATGAAGTTTTCCCCTTCCGCGCGAAGCGCGGAATTTTTGGCGTTTCATCACAATATAGAAGACGATTCCTCGTACCGTTTTCGAATCTTATTAAGCCCTATTCAACTGAAATCAGTTTCCCCCTCTCGCGCGAAGCGCGAAAGCTTTGACGTTTCCTTAAATTATTAGAGAAAGAAGACGATTCGTTGTACCGTTCTCGACTCGTCTAAATGAAGATTCCCCTTCCGCGCGAAGCGCGGAATTTTAGGCGTTTCATCATTCATCACAATATAAAGAAAGGACGACGATTCGTCGTACCGTTGTTGACTCTTAAACCTTGTTTGAATTTAGTTTCCCCGAAAATGTTAAACCTCTGATTTCTTTAGCTGATATTATAGGAAAGTGAAACTTCGAGAAAATATAAGTATTTTAGTTGTAGTCACTCGCGAAGTCGTCACAGCGGATAAAAAGTCACAGTTCGTAGGGAAAAAAAATTGTCGGCCGACCGACAATATACATTTCACCGACTTCAAACTTCTGCATTGATATAGTACACGCGGATCGAGCAAGAATACCGACACAGCTGACCCGACACAGCAACATATTTACCCGTGTCTTTCTTGCTCCCTCGACGAGACGACTCCACCCACCAACCCCCTTCTCTCTTTTACTCCCACTCCTCCTCTCTCGGACTCTTACCTCACCTCTCTCTCCTCTCTTTCATCCCCCGATTCTTTTGTTTCCCTTTCACTCTTCTTTTCTTCTTTTTCCTTTTCTTTCTTTTCTTTCTTTTCGTTTCTTTCCCCTCCTCCCTCTTTTTCTTTCTTCTCTTTTCTTTCCTTTCTTTCCTTTCTTTTCCTTTCTTTTCTTTTCCTTTTCTTTTTTTCTTTTCTTTCCCTTTCCCTCTCTTTTTTCCCACTCTTTTTTCCCTCTCTTTTTTCCCTCTATTTTTTCCCTCTCTTTTTTTCCCTCCCCCTTTTCTCTTTTTCCCGACGGCAGCGCAATTTTACCGACAATATCCTGACAGGTGGGGGGGGGGGTGTCGCACCCCCCACACCCCCCCCCCCCTTTGGCGACGCCCCTGTGTGTGTGTGTGTGTGTGTGTGTGGTGTGCGTTTGTAAATGGCCGCGAACGTGGACCTTTGTAGGAATACACACCTTCTAACCATGGACGCCCGGCGAAGGTGGACGTCCACGGTTCTCTTTTATCTTTAATATGACTTTTTACGGCTAAACAAGTACCATATCAAATAGGAGACTCGATTGGAGCTAGGTCCACGATAACCGTTAACAAATCTGATACACCGGTGTGCATATCATTACGACCGACTAGGAATAATGATCGGTGGGACAAAATTACTCGATCGGCGGATTTCATTTCCGTCTGCTGCCAGCTTTGGATCAGTTTAGGGGAGTCCCTGTTTTACCTTGTGATTTCAGATAACGCGCGTTAGCGAGGTCTTGACGGGGACGTCGGACTTCCGGGTACTCTGGCCTGAGCTGCACGGGACGCGCCCCGCGGCTTAACGGCGCGGTGCCCGTCTTCTACAAGTAACATTTCGAGTCGCTAGCTGCATGCTGATTGATGGCGATGCCGAAACGGATGGTCAACAAATATCTTTAATTAAAGTAAGTAAAATTATATATTTGATGGAAGAAAAGTATAGAGCTAGGTCTAAATCTGGGACAATACAGTACGTATTTAAAAAAACGTAACACTTTTGACAAATCTGTCAAAATTACTTTTCAAAATAGTCTAGGAAGGGCATTTTTAAACGTGCTCGAGACCTAGCCATAGAGTAAGGCCTAGTTTTTTTTCTATAAAATGCCACTAAAATAACAAATATTTCTTCTCGCTTGAGTTAACATAGACCTTTTTTGTCCATAGTGCCAAAAATGGCTTGCGCCAAATTAAAAGAAGAGGGGAAATAAAATCAGCAATATGATTTTAAGTAGGCCTCTTTGCGAACGTGGACATTTGCAGGAATACATACCTTCTAACCATGGACGCCCGGGAAAGGTGGACGTCCAAGGTTTTCTTCTATCTTTTGTATGCATGCAAAAGAGCAATTGATTTGAATGGGAGTATAATCAGCCTTTTTTTTTAAATGCACTGTTACTGTATTGGAGAAACTGACTGAAAAATGAGTAAAAAAGGGTGTTCATATCTAAAGTAGATTGAGTCGAGATCTAGATCTATTTAGTCAGGAATTGATTTGAATGGGAGTATAATTGGCTTTTGTTTATAGACCTATGCACTGTAACTGTATAAATTGGAGAAACTGACTGAAAAATGAGTAAAAAAGGGTGTTCATATCTAAAGTAGATTGAGTCGAGATCTACTTAGTCTGGAATTGATTTGAATGGGAGTATAATCGGCTTTTTTTTTATATGCACTGTAACTGTATAAATTGGAGAAACTGACTGAAAAATAAGTAAAAAAGGTGTTCATAATCATATCTAAATTGGATTGAATCTAACTTTTCTTAGGCAATAACGTCATGACACGTACCAGTACGTTAGTTAAAGTTAGACTAGACACATTTCTATCCGACTATGAATTGAACTGATAATGATCCAGTGAGATAAAAAAATAAACATGATCTAGATCGATCTAAACCTGTAATAATAGATCCCCCTCACCTCAGATATAGGCTCTTTATTTTTCATCTTTACCAGCTAGACCTCTACCTTAATTTGAGGTGTCTTGGTCGAGTGAATATGTCACCGGGCTGTGGATCACAAGGTCCGCGGTTCAAGTCCTGCCGCGGCACTCATGTCCTTTGGCAAGACATTGATCTACATTTGCCACTCTCCACCCAGGTGTTAAATGAGTACCCAGTAGGATGCAAAAGTTAATGTGGTTTGATTAGCAAGTGGCGCTTGTAAAATGGCGACTGGCTGGAATGCTCCCCAGGGAGCGGAGAATATGCATACAAAGTGTGACCCGGGTATTAATATATATCTGTAAAGCACATTGAGAGAGCCTGTGGTCCTGAAATGCGCTATATAAGGACAAACTATTATTATTATTATTATTATTAATTTCTGCATTTGAATTGAAGTCTGTTTTCGCCATTAGCATTATTGACTACGTTGCACACCACACTGATATCTGCAGTGTGTTTATCTTCAATCTGACAATGATGAAAAATGAACTTTTACAGATGTAAGAGCTTAGAAGGAACATTACTTATAGACCAGTATAATCTAGATCCTTATTGAAGCGAAAGACTGCACGATATTTGATGCCCACCTAACAATCACTAGAAAAGGTTGAGATAGATCTATAAACCTAGTCTAGTTTCTGTTGTTTAGAGTTTGTTTGGCTTAACTTAATACTAGTCTTAAGCATTTATTTAACTTTAGAATCAACCCTAAATCATAACAGTCAAATATAGGTTTTTATTGTTTTTTTTCAAATTTTCACCCTCTTTATTTTCCACAGCTAAAACAATGAATATGGATGATCTTCCTCCCCCTCCTCCTCCTCCTTCTCGTTCTTCTTCGTTGTCTTCTATTCAGTCTGTTACATCAAGCAGTTCAAAACCTTCCGATCCATCTCTTCATCAGTCTACTCAGTCACTGCCCTCACTTCTTGAACTTTCTATCTCTGATCTGCCTTCTTCTACTCTCCCCAGCATTGGTCTTTGCCCTACTCCATCTTTTCATCCCTGTCACCCTCCATCTTTTCATCCCTGTCATCCTCCATCTTCTCTGCCCCTGCATGCTTCTTCTTCTGCAAATGATGATCCACTACATGGATTGTCTTGTCAGTGCTTTGTCTTCTTTTTTCTCCATCTCTTGATCATTCTTTGTTTTCTTTACATTATCATGGTCGTATCGTATCTTTTTCTTTAAATGTTTGTCTTCATCTTCTTTGTCTGTGTATGCATGTTCTGAACGTAATGTTTCTATCCCTGCTATACTAGCTATCCATTTTCTTCTCTCCAAAAGAAAATATGTTGAGGTGAGCTATTAAGTTAATGAAGTTATCCTCATTTGGACAGTAATTGCAATATTACATACCTCATTAAGTTTCTGCATTCACATCATGTACACATTTTTATTGACTAGTTTGTGAAGAAGAATAGAGGACACTACAATGTGATTTAAGAACATTTCCTAGATTTATATGTACAAAATCATTACAAAATATTAATTTACAAATTAAAGCTTGTAAAATGCTTCTTGTACATGTATTTTATGTTCCTTTTGTTGACAGTAACAAACTAAATTAAAGGTAATCCCAGTTAGGATTTGGATCTCATTCTGGTCATCAAAAGAGCATCTGAACTCTTTGCAAGGTCTGTCATAAGTCCATGCATGCAAGCTGGCTGGTTAGAATTAGCAGAGCAATCCTGCTTCCACAGTATAACTGTCTCGGGCTAGATATATAGACTTGACTTAGGCCTACATGCAAGAAAGAATATCAAGGAAAGATAGTCATGAAAATTGCGAATGGTCCTTAGACCAGACCCAACTTATGATTTACATGCATCACCTTCTCTTGTCTTCTTTTTATCATTAGATGACAACCAGACGCCGCCGTGTTGCACCCCATCAACAGGTAGAGAAATGGTGCAGGGCTGAAAAAGACCCAGATGGCTTTGAAATAAAGTTTGTGAATGAGACAATAGGTGGGTGAAATCAAAATATTTGACTGCATTAACTCCCAGAGACGATTTTATTTTTATTAGACATGCATATATACGTACATGTATTACAAGTGATCAACGAATTAACTGTAATTTGGAGCTGGGATAAAGTAGATTGGAACGATTTCTATAACAGTTTTAACTATTTGTGATACATGTACATGTACCTTAATTGCAATTAATTATAAGCCAGTACAATTATTACAAAATTATGGTTCATAAGTTAGTAGATTTAAACTTCAGAGCAGCAGAGTGAAGACAAATGTAGTGGATATTAGAGGGCGTAGATGGCTTTATGTGGAATGCTTATGCCACCCAAATTACGCATTTAATTCATAAAACTTTGTTGAACCATTTTAACAGCTAATGCCTTACGAAGCCGAACTTTCCAGACTATTGTAAGGAATATTTTTGTAAGCTTTAGAATATAAAATATCATGTGTACTCCACTTCAGGTCATGGACTTTTCACATGCAAACACTTCCAGAAAGGTGATTTTCTTCTAGAATACAGAGGGATTTTCAGTGAGACATTAGATGCAGATGAAGACAATGACTACACATTTCATTTTCTTCATACAGGTGTGAACTACAGGTTAGTAAAGGTTTCTTTAATTTCTGTTTCAAGAAAAATGAAAATAAAGAAAACTACAACTATGTTATTTCATCAATTTGTTACCATACTGTATGCTGCTATTTATATTTCAGATCAATTATAGTGACTTGAATTATTTGTGTTCATGATTTCTGCAATGATACCATAAACATTTGTGGAGTTTTTTTAAAGAAGATATGATGGAATAGGTGTGGCCTGTGTGCCTTATCAAAGTATTTAAAACCTTTTCTGCAATGATGAATATGAGCTAGACCATGCATGTGATCATGAAGGGTAATATGTAGCTATAATTTGGTGGAATAATGATTTACTTGCATTTTGTATGTTATTCTCAAGTCTTTTTAGAAGAGGGTTCAAATTTGGGCAAAAAAATCACCCTGGTACTGAAAATAGTGGGGGTCATAGTTTTGTATCGATCAACCAAAAATCTTTTCATTTCCCCCTCTCATCATTAAATTCCGACGTTCTATTGATAAAATAGGTCACTTATAAATTTCATGCCATTCTTCATTAATTGTACTTGCCAATTAGGGCTGGAAATGCCAGGGCTTGCAAATATTTACAACAACAAAAATACTGGTATGTATTAGTTATAACTTTTATTTTGAAATATGAGCCTTAACTCTAACATTTGTACACAGGTCTATTTGAGCTGTATTTTGTTCAGTATAGTTTCATGCTACCTCTAAGCATGCAATCTTTTCTCATTTATCTTGCGACTGCAGCATTGATGCATCTGATCCAGAGGCGGGGTTAGGCCGTTGGATTAATGATGATCATAAGGCACCAAATTCTGTAATGAAGAAAATCATCCTGCATGACTCAAGTCCACATCTGTGTCTGTTTGCATGTGACGATATTCAGGTGGGGGAGGAAATACGATACGATTACGGCACTAAGGATTTGCCATGGCGGCAGGTACGATATTACACTTTGTTTTATTTTGTATTTACTGGTGAAATATGAACATTATACAGTTTTTGCAAAAGCTAATTTACCACCTCCATCATTATTGTTATTTCCATTTACTATCGCACAATGTTGGACATTAGTTTTCCTTGATGCCCTTATTCCACGCTGCCCTATACTCTATCAATCCTTGGGCCTTTTAAGGAGAGCACTTCAAAAACTTTCAAAAAAAGATGATGAAAAAGAATATTATATAATTACTTTGTACAAGTGGTATTCATATATTTATGTCAATAATATCATACAACTCTAGAGTCGATAATTTAAATGTACGCTTTAGGTGACTGTATATTCTCCAGCACTATAATTTTTCTTATACGATATTGAGATTTTGCAAATAATGATATAATGGAATATACAAACAACTATACAGAAAACGTCACATCGCTCTCATGATAAACATTTGCTTCATAGTGTATCCAAAATCAGACTCATGTATTGATTTAAATTGCAGCCTCCCACACCAAACGTCATGCCACACACTAACATCAACGTGCAGGAAACGCCTAGCAAGAAGCTGCCGACACCCCACAGCATGGACATTGTCACCTCTACTACCACCAATAAGCTGCCCCATATGCCAGATGCAACATCCAAGCCAGCATCACAACCAATCATGAACAACATCAGCAACCAAAGCTCTCACCAGTGTCCTATCCAAGGAACACCATCCACCAGTCAACTACTACCCCACTCTCAAGAGGGTGGCACACCAACATCCGATGATAATGGGACAGCTAGGCAAGAGGTACACTCCCTGAGTAACAGCATGTCTTGCAGCCAGGTTGATGCCTGCTATAACCCGGACTTAGATTCCCCAGGTGTCATAGATGGAAGTGAAGAGGGACCAGAAGGCTTAGATGTATGTATTTCTAAAATGTTTTGTTAATTAAGAAGAATGTTTTTAATAAATTGCCTTGCATGTGGGCAATGATGTAAACATACTTAGGGCAAATATTTACTTACCTATACACTACAAATACATTCTTTACCATAATGAGCAATATTGATACAGTAATAAATATCCAGGAATGTGAGAGTCCATGTTTGTTTACTTAAATTAGCAAGTCCATATTTGAAGATTTTAAATCACACTAATTGAAATTTAACAGTTTAGAATACATGTAAATGAGTCCATGTTTGTCGTATTAATTTAGCAAGTCCATACTTGAAGGTTTTTTTTCACCAGTACACAAACAAATGTGTTGGTTGAAATAAAATTAGGTGGACCATTGGAAATTTGTTAACTTTTCTGGGGCTATAAGGAAATAAAAAACTATTGTGCCAATTATTCTTGATGATTTTAGGCTTTCACCATACATGTACAAAATCTGGAGTACTGCAGGTATGCTGATGATATTGCGATATAGACATTAATGCTTTTCATATGTTTCATATAGGTTTTCGGCATGCAGCAGCCTTAAGACAAAATGTTATGTAGTTGTCACAATAAATGTTTTACTTCAGAGTGTATCAGAAACTCAACTCAAATATTAATTTAAATTTCAGACCCAATTGCACACACCAATTGTGGAGCACACCTCCAGTAACATGCAGGAAACGCCTAGCAAGAAGCTGCCGACACCCCACAGCATGGACATTGTCACCTCTACTACCACCAATAAGCTGCCCCATATGCCAGATGCAACATCCAAGCCAGCATCACAACCAATCATGAACAACATCAGCAACCAAAGCTCTCACCAGTGTCCTATCCAAGGAACACCATCCACCAGTCAACTACTACCCCACTCTCAAGAGGGTGGCACACCAACATCCGATGATAATGGGACAGCTAGGCAAGAGGTACACTCCCTGAGTAACAGCATGTCTTGCAGCCAGGTTGATGCCTGCTATAACCCGGACTTAGATTCCCCAGGTGTCATAGATGGAAGTGAAGAGGGACCAGAAGGCTTAGATGTATGTATTTCTAAAATGTTTTGTTAATTAAGAAGAATGTTTTTAATAAATTGCCTTGCATGTGGGCAATGATGTAAACATACTTAGGGCAAATATTTACTTGCCTATACACTACAAATACATTCTCTACCATAATTAGCAATTGTATACAGTAATAAATATTCAGTAATGTGAAAGTCCATGTTTGTTTGCTTAAATTAGCAAGTCCACATTTGAAGGTTCTAAATCACACCAATTAAATTTAACAGTTTTAAATAGCTAAGTCCATGTTTGTCGTATTAATTCAGCAAGTCCATACTTGAAGGTTTTTTTTCACCAGTACACCAACACATGTGTTGTTTGAGGAAAATCAATCCCCTTTATTTTGGGTGTGGTGATTAATAGGTTTATAGATCAATGCATTAATAACTGTTTTCGGAGGCGTTATGTTGGGTTGTCCGTCTGTCCGCCCGTCTGTACGTCCGTTCTCATGATCGCGTTATCTCAAGAACCGATTGATGGATTTTCTCCAAACTTGGGTCATGTATGTATCTTGCAAAGCCAATTAACTGATTAGATTTTGGGGTCACAAGGTCACAGGTCACAGGGCTCATTATGTATGCATACAAAGCTTGTGATCGCATTATCTCGAGAACCGATTGATGGGTTCCCGCCAAACTTAATTCATGTATGTATCTTGCAAAATCAATGTATGTATCTCGCAAAATCAATAACTGATTATATTTTGGGGTCACAAGGTCAAAGGTCACAGGGCTCATTATGTATGCAAAAATAGCTTGTGATCACATTATCTCAAGAACCAGTTGATGATGTACCTATGGTATTATTGGTGTATAATATTGTACTCTTTTATCTAAGCTGGCAGAAAACTTCACAATAGGCACAGTTTGATCTGGAGGATTTTGCAGGGTGGGACTTTAACAATTAGGGTCTAGAAAAATGCACACAAAAAATCTTTAAAAACATACATAATACACATTAAGATAAAACAGTTAATGGTTTGTTGATCTATCGTGCAGACCCAGCATAGAAGTAAACATGCATGTCAGGGGACCTATAAAACATAATTTGCCTTAATAGTGTACTTACATTTGACCAATTCAGCAGGAGATATTTGATGTTTGCTTTCTATATGGACTCTAATTTCAGTTTCTCTTACTGTTTTTTTTTCAGGCCATGTCAGAGGTGTCAGACCTGTCGGAAACTACTACAGATCTAACAGATGATTCTGACCCGGATTACATACCGGAATCTGATGATGATGTTGGGGAAAGGGAGATGAGTCCTGTCGTTCCTATCCCTGGATCTTTTAATATTCATCGTGGTTGTCTACCCACTCCTGAAGATGAAGCATCAACCAGTGAGAATCATGTAGACAGCACCTCAAAAGCAGTATTGCATGCCTGCAGTAGGTCTTCAGGGATACAAGTGAATGCCACAGCAAATGGAAGAAGCAAAAGCTGGGATAAAGTCCAATATTGTCCTTTCTGCATGGAACCTCAGAAGAAATTACCTCGCCATTTACAAACTCCCAAACACAGAAACGAACCACAGGTGCAGAAATGGCTTTCTAGTGAAGACCAAAAGGATAAAGTGAGACAATTGACACTAATGCGCAATTATGGAAACTACCTACACAATATCTCTGTCCTGAAGAAGGGAGTTGGAGAACTCATTGTTGTTCATAGGCCAGCAGACAAGTCAGATCCATCAGATTACGTTCCCTGCTCAAACTGTTATGGTTTTATCACGAAGACAGAATTGTGGAAACACAAGTGCAGCCAGATACTTGATAGTATACCATCTGGGAAAACAAAGAAACGAGGAAAAGTGCGTGCTGCCAAAATGCTGCTACCAAATACTCCTGGGGTGGATACGAGAACCATTGAAATCCTGTCGAACATGATCGATGACAATATAGCCGCTGTGGTCAGGTCGGATGACCTAATAACTAAATTTGCTGAGAAGTTAACCATGAAACATGGACATAGCAGAGACCAAGAGAACTATATCAGGCAACGGTCAAGGGAGCTAGGAAGAATGGTCCTCGAGTACAGATCAATGACAGGGGAGACCAATGTCGATCTTGCAAGTCTCATACGTCCTGAGAAGTTTGTTGCAGTGACGTCTGCTACAAAACTGGCTGCAGGATTTTGTGCTGAAAACAATGTCTACAAAACCCCCAGTCTTGCATTAAAGATCGGACATGGTCTGAAGACTTGTTGCGAGATTCTACAAGGAAAAGCCATTATGACGCAGAACTCTGCCATCAAGAAAAGTTGCAAGGCATTCTTGACCCTGTATGACCTTCAATGGGGGAGCTATGTAACTCACCATGCACTAAGAAGTCTTCAAGAAGGAAGAAGAAATAACCCAAAGTTGTTGCCACTTACCGAAGATGTAGTCAAATTTGCGAAACATCTCAAGGGAGAAATGCATGCAAAATTGAATGGGCTTGAGAAAGAGAGCAACACCAACAGAATTGCACATGAATGGCATAATCTTTCTGAAGTACTGCTGGCACATATTGTTGTCTTTAACAGGAAAAGACCTGGAGAGGTCTCAAAAATGACCATGCAAGATTATGAAAATTGCTCGCAAGGAGAAGGTGGTATAATTGATGGTGCTCTCAGCAAGTGGGAGAGAGCACTTTGTCGAGTTCTATGGAGAGTCGAAATCGTAGGAAAACGTTTGAGGACGGTGCCTGTACTTTTGACAACGACAATGAAGAGGGCAATGGACTTGTTGAAAGAGAGGAGATGTGAGGCTGGCATCGAGGAGAGCAACACATATGTGTTTGCTGGATCAGGGGAAGGGCACCGGAGAGCATGCGATGCTATCCGTGTTCATTCCACCAAATGTAATGCTGAACATCCAGAACATCTCAGAGCAACACATCTGAGAAAGCAAATTGCCACTGTAGCCCAGATTATGAATTTAAAGGAAAATGAGCTAGATGTCTTAGCTAATTTCCTTGGGCATGACATCAGAACGCATCGGGAATACTATAGACTCCCAGATTCAACAGTGCAACTGGCGAAGGTTTCAAAAGTTCTTCTGAAGATGGAGAGGGGAGATCTTGAAGGTCTTGCCAATAAAGGACTAGAGGAAGTGCAGTTGGATCCCAGTGAAGGTAAAGTGCATAATATTTTCTTTTGAATTCTTCATGCAAACTGCAAAGAACAACTAGAGTAGAAAAACGTGCAGGTTTTGTTTGCTTTTATTTTCATAAATCAATAATACATAATACATAGTGTAAATTGAATAAAAAATATGGCGAATGGCCCATTCCAGCTGTGTATCAATATAATACCACTGTTCTTCCATGGTGTCCTTAATGAATACATGTACATAATAGTAGCAATCAAAGTAACACAAAAAACACAACAACAATGTATTGAACATAAACATGTATATTCCAGCAATTTCAAACTAATAAATTTGATTTTCTTTTTCATATTCAATATATCTTTATAAAAAGGGATACAGAACCGTAGGAACCTTAACAAAGAAAAAAAGTAGATGAATAATTAAGATTTTTTTGTGGGGGTGCATAATTGGCGATTTTGTGCAAGACTGTTTGATAGATGTCCAAAAGATTGAAAGAGAGAGAAATGTGCATGCATCTGTCGTGAACTAAGCATTGTAATCATGTCGAACTATGTTGTGTTCATAATGAATTAAAATGTTTATTACTGAAACTATAAATTAATTATATATAAGACATGCATGAATTTCATTCCTGTTGTTAGTTTGTCCTAAATAATTCTATGAGGCTAATTCCTTTCATGTAGAAAAATACTTTTTCAGAATATTTGTATACACATAAAAACACTGTTAAGGGCCTGATATAACATTACTTATGCTAATTATAAATATTTCTTTTGATTTTTTGTAGAGTACATCACTGATGCCGAGTCAGATTCTGAGGGTGAAGATGTGCAGTCTGATGATTCACCTTTGGTGACTGTGAGGACAGAAGGTATGTTAAACAAGAGAAAGTCAAATCCTAGTCAGTAGCTGAAAGCCAGTGGTGCATATAGTTTCTTTGAGTCAGGGCTGCTTTAATTGATTGAATTATGATTGTTAGAATGCAGTTGCACTATTTGAACGTTTCATTATTTGTCCTAACAAAAATAGAACACCCAGTACTTGATGAATCGACCGAAGCATATTTTCTTTACATATACTTCACATATATATATATATATAGAGAGAGAGAGAGAGAGAGAGAGAGATTTCCTGTTAATACAACATGTAGGGTTATATTATTTTCCACCAAAAAATGGTACTGGGTATTTTCACTTGAATAATGTATACATGTAGTTCTAGTTTTATGTTTCATGACAGTTTCACTCTATTCTATCTGGGAACCAATGGCATGGACGCAGGGCTATATGTGCTGTTTTGTCTCAAAATGAAATATATTTTCTGATTGAAGGTTTAAAAGATATATATTCTCCTTGGTAAACAGACTGTAGTGCCTACTCTGGGAAATCAAAAAGTCCTTCTGAGAATCATCCAATCAGGAAAGTCTGGACTTTGAAAGAGAAGACAACTGTCGCAGACCATTTGGGCTCATTTCTCCTAAGACGTACCCTACCAGGAAAGGCACATATTTTGAAACTCTTCAATGCAGAGCCACAAACCTTTCGGGATCGATCTTGGACCAACGTGAAAGATTTCGTTCGAAACCAGATTCGGAAGAAGGATGCAATGGGATTCTTGAAGATGTAAAGTACATTTATGAATGCTCATCATGATACATATTATATATACCTGTAGACATTGTGACATTTCTCCCAAAAGGGGAGGGGAGGGGGATGTGGCAATGGACTTATCGTGTCAGGCTGTTGCCAAATGATTTGTTATCATTGTGTGCTTGTACATATATGCAAAATAATTGGGGCACTTAAGTTAGACAGAAAAAAGATATGTTTGTTGCCTGACTTAAAATTCGGCAAGATCCCTTCTCCCTCCTCCCTTTTGGAATTGGTTAAGTTCATACATGAAGGTTTAGGTTCAGAACTGATGATATACATGTACATGAGAAATGTGTAATGTATTGTAATGCTGCTCATGTATGCATTATGAGATGTCATCAAACCCTAAAGACAAAATTTATTGTTGATTTTTTTGGAGTAGATAATGCAGTCACTAGTTAAATGTGGGATACCCTCAGTTGATTTCATTGATTACTTTAGTTCATACGTGAAAGATTCATATTATGGAAGTAGTCTGTATGTCCTGTTTCTTTTGTGATTCTATTTAAAGTTGAGACTTTGAAAATGTGTAGTCACATTTAATTGGGTTTCGAGAAATGTTGCACCAACAAATAGATTTCCTTTTGTTTATGTAAAATATCTACAGTCGGTATGGAAGTTCATGTAGTGTAGCTCTATTGAAGTAAGAAGCTATCGAGTGAAAAACTGTTAATTCAGCAACTTGGTGACATGACTTTGCCCATTCATTATATGAAGGGTGATGGATGGGAACTTCATATAAGAGAAGCAATAATTATAGGTATATAGAATATTTCATGCTCTTCACTTGAAATCTAAATTTATATATTATGGTTTCATTTGTTCTAGATCAGTATGAAAGAAACAAATGTTCCCTAAAAGTTTCATCGTTTGGTTTTTAATGAAAGTTATATAAATCCTCTCCACATAATATATGTACGACTTCAACATTATTTTGTGTAGATAAATGCGTTTAATAGCAATTCACCTCATTTAATTGATGCAATTGATTTAAGCACTGTAGATTTCAAAGATGTAATATGGTATAAATGAAGACTGTATGTATACTGTGTATGAGCAAGGAATTTAAAGACATAAATTATGTCACAAGTATCGTTTTATATTACTTAAAGCACATGGATCATATATGTTTAATTTCTTTTTAATCAGTAAACTAGTTTTCAGCTTTATCAGTATGCTGACCAGGATTTAGGGGCAAAGAATAAACATGTACAGTACCTGTATGTCAACGCATTATAACGTTTATATATATGAAAATAATCATCTTAAGTTTGTTAAAGAGGTCCTCATATGCACTGGGGCTTTTAGAAATATTACAACAAATATGGACGTCCTTTATACTACAGTTGTGGAGTGAGATAAAATGCTAACAACTTGATCGTAACAAAATTACTTCACTCTGATTGATAGATCTAATCTACATCTCTTGGTAATTGGTATATTTAATGATAAAAAAGCCATAATTTTGAGTAAAAGAGATTATTTTATAAGTTTAGAATAACTTTAAAATTGTTAGAGATATGTTATCTTTCAGTTCAGTATGAAAGGAAACAGTTGGTTCCTTGACTTTTTAAGTGTGAATCCCACATTTATTTTGTAGTTCAATATATGCTCTATGACTCAAGTCATACAGTTTGTTATTGCACTTTCAACGTTAGAATTTTGGGCTAAAATTTTTATGTGTTATGTAGTTCTTTTTACTAAAAATATAATGGCAGTGACAGATTCAGACTGATTTACACGGAACAAATAAACTTGTTTCTGTCTGTATAGTCCTAACCCTGCTTAGCTAGGGTGGGGGTTGGGGGGGGGGTTAACAATTTAATACAAAGGTTCTTACATTTTCAACAACAACAAGGGTGTAATTCAGGCTCACACAAAATATTCTTGTAACCACACACAGACAAGATTGAAAAACACAATTTTTTCTGAGGGGGGGGGGGGGTGCCAAACCCACTCCTGAATCTGCCACTGTCAGTGTTATGTTTGTATTTACAAAAAAGGTTATGTGTTAACAGTATATTTTGAAAAATGGTTAGGCATATTTGTTATTTGTATTTATAAGTTTCTATTGATGGACAATTACTTTGAAGGCTTGTAGTCACAACCTATCTCGAGTCTAAAAAAACAGTATGAAATTCTTGAGGCCACCAAATGAAATATTTACTTGTTACGTACTAGCTATCCAATGAGCAGTTTAGCTAGTTATACCTGTGGTACATTGATGGGTAGTTTAAGTTCTTTTGTATAAGTACAACAATGTAAAAACTCCAGTTGTTCCTTAAAAGTGTTTTGTGAAGAAGAAAATTAGGAGTATGTGATTTGTAAGGTTTGTAATTTGTTGTCATTTAACCATACACCAGTCCACAAATGTATTCATATTGATGGCCTCTTCTCCCACCTATAGTGATGAACTATTGTATTCACTTGTTATGAGTTAATGTATACTGGTCTACTACTATTGAACCTTGTCATTGGTATCATTAAGGTTCAGGGTGCACATCCGTAAATATACGTAAATTTTCATGAACTATTGGGATCGTGTTCATAGGATTTAACAAAAAGAAAAGAATCAAACCCTTCGAGTTTATAACCCATCACGGAGAACTATGTAAGCCTATATAGTGCAATAACTCAGGGCTGCAAGCGCCCAGCAAGACCATGCTTTTCATGGAGATATCTGAAATATAACTTTAAATTAAACCTTTCAGGGACAGACTGTTTTGGCTTGGGGGCAGAAAACAAATTTTCTTTGGTGAGTTTTATAGCTGCAAACGGTCAATCAGCCGCACAAAATCAGATCCATGCAGTTTGGCAAGAAAAAATAGAAATAGAAAATTAATACGAATTGTCCTAAATGCAAATTACAGCTTTAAACGGAGGTCACACTTAATTATTTCAGTTGTACCGATAGTTATATGCCTTTTATAGCCATTTGCTAGCGAGTTAGTGTTCAGCTTGAATCCTGTTAAAGATATTTTGCTCTTAAAGGAATTTTTTGTAATGCTAGATAAATTTCCATTCACACAGACCTTGAAGCCTGTGAAATATTATGAAGATGTACATGATTTATTGTATGTCACCTACAATTTTTTATATCTTTCATTGCACCTGTTAAACAGTCTTAATTGTGACAGCATATTTGTGACGTTGGCATCTATTACGCTACGTCAAAGGAACACTTTAATTGTGTTGAAATTCCATACATGTATTATGAGTTCTATATATATGTTTGTTATGCAAGTCACTTTTTCTCTTACTAAAACATGTTTTTGTAATTTGTTTAAAATTTTTGAACTTGACATTTGGTTCCCTACTTGGATCATTGTGTTTGATAGTTTTATAACACGTACTCCAGCTTGTGACCATGTACTTCATACGATTATGTGTATGAAAACGTAAGCATATTTTGTTTGATTAAAAAATGGCATTTGCCATTATTGTTGCCTACCCTTAATCTTTCGTGTTGTCCATTATGTTGTAGAGTAGTATAACATGCAGACTATGATATGTTCGGAAATGGTTTCATGACAAACGTAGTAGAATGTATATACCAGTAATATATATTTTCACATCTATAACGCTCACATAGTTATTTCTGAATAATTTACTTTTGTTCTGGTACCATGTACAATAAACAACAAGGAAAGTAAGCAGTCCATAGTTGCTGGATTAATTAAAAAAATCCACATTTGACAGTACCGGTATGTTATCTAATGTCAAACGTCCACGTTCAATATGTTAGTTTACCAAGTCCACGTTCAATATGCTAGTTTACCAAGTCCACGTTCAATATGCTAGTTTACCAAGTCCACGTTCAATATGCTAGTTTACCAAGTCCACGTTTGAAGGTATGTATACGAAGGAATGTCAAAGGTCCATGCTTGTACTGTTTATTTACTGAGTCCATTCTTGAAGACGTTTAAAGCCCCATCGTACTACTTGTATCTACTTGCTCCCCATTTATAGAATACAATGCGTAATCGGTGACTATTGGTCCCCCATGATCCTCTTTTTCTTATGTTAATTGATCGAGAGCTGAGTTGATGAGATAGCCACCTGTCATGACCACCCTGGGTGGTCTAATTCCTCCTAGCCAAACTAGTATGTCCACATTCGGAGGTACATATGTATGTGTATAAATAATAAATGTCAAAGGTCCATTTCATTGGGTTAAAGTTATCAAGTCCATTTTCAAAGGACTTTACAAGGGATTTAATACGTTCATGTTAAAACGCCTAATTAACAAGGAATTTAACAAGTCCATGTTTGACGGCCTTATTCATGAGTCCATGTTTGAAGGCATTTACAAGGAATTTAAAAAGTCCATGTTTGCGAGAGTTATTTCATAGGTCCTCATTCGAGGGCATCTACAAGTATGTGTGTGTTTGTGCGTGCGCGATCGCGCGCGCTTGTGTAAATTAGTGTGGGCGTGTGCTCGTGCTAGTATGTGATGGCTATCGCCGATCATCCCCCCACTCCTCGGTACGGATTTACGCCCCTGCCTTGAACATAGAGAACAGAGAATTGTAATCAACAAAAGTATATTTAACCATTTCCCTCTTTTGCATGGCGTGCCCCAGGGTCCGCTCAGCGATGTAATAAATGGACATAGAAACATATACCATGTAACATACGCGGACGATACGCAGTTGTGTGTAATCCTTGAGCCCGTCACCGGTCGGTTAGCTTGACAAATCTTGAAGAGTGTGTTAGTAATGTGAAATGTTGGGCACAGAAAAACTATCTTGAGCTTAACATTGACAAATCTGAATTACTTCACATCACATCTCAGTTTCGTAAACCCTAGCCCTTGACAGATTTTGTTTTAGATGACACACAATTGTGTACCTCTGAATCGGCCAAAAAAGACACTGCTCTCAATATGAAGGCTCATAAGGAAAGTATGTAAAGCTGCATCTTATGGTATCCACAAAATTGGTAAAATTAGGATTTTTTTTATAGATAAACCCACTACAGAACGACTGATACATGCATTTGTCACTTCCCACTTAGACTACTGTAATTAATGGCCTCCTTGTTAATTTGCCACCCTCCAACCTTGTTCCTCTTCAACGTATCCAAAATGCTGCCGCTCGTCTAGTTACCCGCTCAAGACCTTGTGAACATATTACTCCAATCCTCCGCAATCTCCACTGGCTGCCAGTAATTCAACGTATCCAATTTAAAATTCTTCTCCTTGCCTTTAAAATCCGTAACGGTCAATGCCCCACGTACCTTTCCAGTCTTGTAAAATCCAAACCCCCCTCCTTGCGTGCTTCAACTTCCTCTCACGTTCAACTAATTCCTGGCCCTCGTGTGAAAACAAGATACGGTGATAGAGCACTTTCTGAAGCTGCCCCCCAGTTGTGGAATAGCCTCCCGTCCTACATTCAATATGCTCCTTCTCCATCCACTCTCAAAGTAATGTTAAAAACCCATCTGTTCAAATCCATACCATAAATAAATGATGTCGTACTACTGTTTGTTATGAAATAAGTCATCTTTAGCACAATTTAAGTTAGATTAAGTTGATTTATTCATTGATTTGTAACAAACTGTAATTTTGTACTGAATAATATTGTGTATTCGTGGTGCTGTCGTCCCGGCTTTATTTCGTGTAAGGACATTGCTTCACTTAATGGCTGCTGGGACAACAGCACCACTGCGCCTAGAAACAATGTATTAGGCGCGTTATAAATGTGATCTATTATTATTATTATCAATTATTATTAATTTCTAAAAAAAAATCATGACTTGATGGATTTGCACATTATTTGTTACTCCTCACATGTCAAGCATATTCAAGTTATTTATATCTTTAAGAATATGGAAAACAAGCCTTATATGGCAAGTTAAACAGCAGACTATAGCACACCCCATAGCATCCTCTCATGAGCACTTTTGTCTCTTTCGACCAATAAGGACCTGAAATCTTTTCTCTAGTCATCGGTTACTGCATGCATACTGCAATTTGAGAGTTTGGGAGAAAATACTTTGTTATTTCATCTAAGGATATTATTCATAGAGCTCATTCATAAATTTGAGGAAATGACTTTATAAATGATTGGGGCGTACAATACAGTGACAAATGTATACATCAACAATGGTAGAGATGCCCAAAAATGTAAGGGTAAAGTTTTCTAATCACATTCAGTCTCCTTTTTATCCATGTTCATCACCTTTAAATATCATGATCATTAAAAAAACTTTTTCAAAACATAGCTCATGAAATATCAAATAAATATATCACATACACAATAAAATTTGTTAAGTGTAACGATCATAAATTGATACTGCATTAACAGAGTTACATCTTGATCTATCATTCACTAATCCTTTTAAAATTATTGAGCTCCAAAAACTAGTATAAAAATATGTGACTTTATATGACGTCAGAATAAGCAAACTTTTAATACTCATATACGTGTACCTTAAACCTATATAGGCCAAGTTAATATTACTATAATTGCTGATCGAAATATGTTTCAAAATGTGAGAATCCAGATAAATGAATAATTGAAAGACCTCAATAAAGTATCTTGTTTAACTCAAATAAAGTCAAAATGCAACACAAACTGTTGTTTACTCAATAAACATACACATCCAGAGTTCTTACCCAACTCAACATATACTACAAGATTTCATATTTCTATTTACATGCTCGCTGTGTATACAAATTGGAAAGTCATTCATGATCTGACGTAGAAAGATGAAAGTTGTGGAAGACTTATAAAGAATACACCCGATACAGTAAGGACAGTATAGAGATCAGAAAATGAGATTATAGTTAAGATTTAGCAGTGGAAAGTATTAAAAACTTTAATTAATTTGTTAGCTAAAATGCAACACTTGTTTAAGTTTACATAGGCTAAGCGGTATGGCCCATGATTATTTGCAAAATGTTCACACTTATAACGATTTCGACTTTAATACATAGTTGTCACTTATTTGTCACTCTGAACACACAAGTAGAGTCTATGCTTACAGAGAAGAGTGTAGGCAGAAAAATGAGCCTGAATTAAGTTTGAATAAAAATGTGATGTCCTCTGCAAGCAGAGAAAAGAGAACAGAAATAAAAGTAAAACACAAAAGTAAAATAAAGGTATAAAGGGGACTAATAATATATACTTTGAAAAAATAAGTATACTGACTTTGCTATCATTTGCACACATACAAAAATAAAAATCTATGAGACATTCGTATATTTAAGGGTTGAAGAGCATAAGAAGAAAAGTTAATTCAAAGTTGCCTTCCCTACTCATGCATGTGTCTACATGTACAAGTGCCTTGACAAGTCAGAATTTGGTTTTATCTTTCATATTTAGAGTTCATCTATATTTTATAACATTTAGAGTGTAAATTGGCAATTTTTTTAAAAAGAAGTAGTTTGAAATTTTGCGGCAGAGCAAAATATATACATGTTTTTGTATACATTTTTCTTAAAATTGGTTCTTCTGAAAAATTGTAGTCATCATTCCACAAGATAACATGATTGATCATCCAAAATATAAAAATACACTAAAACATATATATAAGATATACGTCTTTATTCAACAAATAGATAATAAATGAAAATAGGATATAAGAATGAAGAATGAAAAGGTGTATCAAATTTGAACACACAACATAGTCTCTCAATGTTCTCTATACGTATCTTATATACAGTAATCTCTTATACATGCATAAGTGATGAATAAATATTTGTTACATGCCCAGTTACATAAACAAAAATCTTTCTTGACTACATATGTATAATGACATGTCTGCAAGATACAAACAAATATCACAACTATGTACTTTTCAGCAAGTTTCCATGATATATACAGAAATTTGAGGAGGATGTACATTAGCTCCATGCTCACATTATGTGTCCTGACCATGGAATGATTGGGCTGTTCAGTTAGGAAAATCAAGTTGATATTCTTGATTTTAAAAAACAAGATCAAATGGATTATACAGCAGTATTCGACAGTTAATAATCAAACACAGGAACTGCAAGCTAATGGCCTGAATTAAAAACATGAATATTGCTGTCTTTGATATATGTACGGACCTTTGAATCCCTCTTATGAGAAATGTGGGCAAAACACAAAAATCGGTTTTTTATTTTTCTACCCAACAGTTTCATTATGTTTACCATAGTTAAGCAATCCATCACTCCTTTCTATCAATTAATAGAATGAAATATTCTGTAAAATTGATGAATTCAATGACAGTATAAAGATATGCATCAATTTGATCTGCTAACATTTAACAAAAAGAAGAAGGAAAAAAAAAGATTTCTCAGAGCAAGAAAAGTAAGCTCTTTCTTCCTTGTATACACCCTAACAAAATTTCCTTTCAAAATATTTCACAATATATTTGTATTATAATAGTGTATTATTAACTAATATGTAACTTGAATTAATAGATATGGATAAACAAAACAAGTATCCGTCCAAAATATTTAATGAAATGGAATGTCTTACAAAATCTATTAACAAAATTCTAATTCTTTTTTCAACCATTCCTCTGTGAATTCTTCCAGCTCCCTCAACTCAGAGCGCTGCAAATAGAGAGATAAGAAAATGGAGAAAAAGAAAATAAAGTTGAGTAATAAAATGGTATTAAAATGCAATTTACTTGTATATTATTCAGTGAAATACAGTGAACATGTACATGAATGTTAGAATGAAAAACACAATTATAAGTAAAATATAGAAAAAGGCTATATTCTGAAAATCATTTCATCTTTATTTTACTTGTCATAACAGTTCTAAACTTTAAGCACATCATTGGTAAATGACTACCAATAGATGACCGAGCCTACCTGCACACACACCTATGAAAAGTTACAATTTCAAATTTGTTATGCCAATTCAAACCATCAAAAAAATTATTAAAAAGTCAGTGGCGGATCCAGGGGGAGGGGGCATAGGAGGCACGTGCCCCCCGGCCAACAAAAAATATGTTAAAATCAGCCCTAAATTCGCCCAAAATGTACTAAAAAAAGGGTCGTGCCCCCCCGGCCAAAAAAAAAATGCGATTTTTTTTTTTTTTTTTTTTTTTTTTCCCGAAGAAAATAAATAAAATATGCCAATGGCTGACCTAAAAAGGTGACCTTACCCCCCCCCCCCAACGGAGCAAATTTCCCAATTAAAAAATGTCTTGACCAAAAACAAAGCAAAAGTGTCCTCTTACCCCCACCCCCCCCCCCCCACCCCCCACTCCCCCCCCCCCCCCGCTTATTCAGCAGCTGGCTGAGTCGTTGCGATTTTTTGGGGGGGACTAAAAACATATATATATATATGTTTTCTTTCCAACCGGGTGCCCCCCCCCCCCGGCAAGAAATTCCTGGATCCGCCACTGAAAATAAAACAAAGTCAGAACACCACCCAGAGCTAAGACATGGCTATATTATCACAGTATTTACACATACCTTCGAAAGACCCATTATATTCTGAAGTTCTAAACAACTACCGCCGTACATCATTGCTAGTTCTGGTTTGGTTCCTAACATAAAATGAAAGAAAACACAGATCACAAAGAGTGAACTCTACTCTTCGTTATTAGAAGAGTGATGAAAACTTTTATGTAAATGTGCAATATATCCATATTGTTTACAATTAGTTTTCTTATTCAGCTTTCCTTTAAGCTTCTAATGCCAATTTTATTAGATTATTGTAATATACCGTAGCACAACTTCACACAAACTGATCTACACATACCGAACATTAGCTTATAAGGACCATCACACACATCAGAAATGATTCAAGATGCATATGCTTGTACAATGTCTTCAATTTTTTTAATTTAATTTTTTTAATTTTTCAATATACAATCGATTCTACGACAACTACGACAACTACCCCCTAGACGACTACCCCCCCCCCCCCTCTCAAGCCCCGATCTGAAACTTACCAGCTATTAGACAACTACATGTTCCTGTGGACAGTTTTTTCATAGAACTGTCCCCAAAGGCCAAATACACCCCTAGGATAACTATCCCATGGACATAACGCATTGGCAACTACCCCCCCCCCCCCAATTCAAAAGTCCCTTAAAGGTAAAGACCAGTATTGGAAACGCCCCAATTTAAAAAAAAATGAAATGGAAGCTCTTATTACCAATCATGTGAAAGAATATGGTTTGAATAATACATGATGATACAAATTTTGCCGGGAAACCGCCTACTAATTGATATATTTGTTAAATTAGTTTATCTATTGGTATGTGAGATATAAAAACGCACGTGTCGCCTACGTGTGCGTAGTGCCATATACTCTTTCTGTGTACAGTGCTTGTAACTTTATGAAGACTGGGCCAAATTTCTTATCATTTTGATGATTCAAGAACCTTGCAGTACATCTATGCTAGATGATCAACCTTTTCTGATCGATTTCACAATCCAATCTCATGACCATAACTGGTCTTTGTCTTTAACCCTAAAAAGCCGGGGCTATTTGAGGTCTTAGTACGGCCGGGGGGGGGGGGGGCATTATGGCCCACCCTTAAGATCTCCGCCGTGAAACTGCCGATCTCCGCGAAAATTTTCATGCATGTCAAGTGTAGTGTAAAGAATAGTATGGTAATTTCAATTTTTTGAAAAATTCACTCATTTCCATATTTATGGTAATTTATGCAAATAAGGTCATAAAATCACATGTTTACCCATAAATCATCTATTAATCATATTTAAGCATTTTTCTTCACCATATATATTCATTAGACCATTTGGAATAATAATACGATAAAAAAAATTGGAAGAGCCAGCTCATTCCTTATGTTATCTATTGTTTTGATAATTTCTTATGTATTTCATTGTTTTTTAACTTATGTATTTTTTTTTTTTTTTTTTTAATTTCATTTCTTACTACAATTCAACTATTTGACCCCAAAACAACCCCCTAAACTATAAACAAGACCCAATAACCAATGTTTGATCTATTTTTAGGAAAAATGACATTTCCATACGTTTTGTACACAAATCACAAAAATGAGCGATTTTCGGGCTGACATACAAAGACAAATGGTCACGTGACCTTGTAACTGTAGGTCCGATTTTCATTTTTTTTTTTAAAGATGCGCAAGACTCGAAACAAAAAAGTCAGCGAGCGGCGGGGCGCCATCCATATGCGTTCCCGAATAATCCCGAATGCGTTCCCGAATAATCGTGGAGGGGGGGGGGGGCATAATGCCCCCCCCCCCCGGCCTTATTAGGGTTAAGTACTTGTTGGAGGGATATTTTTAACATTTTTTTAGGAGGGTTGGGTGTCCTTGGGAGCAGTTGTCCTACATGTTTTGGAGGTAAAAGTCAAGGACGTACATGATAAACCATGAGAGTCTTCCTAATACTCTATATTTTCATTTGGATGAAATAGATTGAAGTAGACTGAATACACACCTTGAGGACATATAAAAACGAGGCAAAGGGGGTATGATATTCTTCCATCGTCATGGTGAAGACAGTAACTATAGAGTACATATCTTGGTTGATGTTCAGGCAGTTCTCCCTGTAACTCATCTGGTGTCATGTTCTAAAAAAGCATAGGTATCGAAAACAATTCAACTTCATAGCTCTGTCTTATCACTAGCATATCTTTTATATTTTCATCCTTTTGTTATCTTCCACCACATGACATGACATAAATCACAAAATTAGAATTTACTTTGTGATTTAGATTTTTTTTTTTCTTGTTGTTGTTCAATATCTGAAATGGAAGTATAAAGAATAGAGCTCTTGTCCACATAGGGCATTAAAATGTCACAAAAAAGGAAAGCCACAGCAAAAACAAACTTTGCATGTTTCAAGGACATAAGCACCAACCCTGATGAACCACAATGTCTGCTGAGAGCCAGAAGCGCCTTAAGTTTAACTCACAACTTTGACATGGCTTACACCATGTGACTCAAAACAAGACAGTATTCCAAATTCTAGTCATTCTATAAAAAGGGTTCCCACAATTTCATAACAGCAAGACTCCAGACTTTTCCCTGATGTTTCCTTGATGGAGTTTCAAAATTGCAAGATCATTAAGAAGGTATTGTCAACACTTATGCCAGGTTAAAATTATGTTGCCAGCGGCCCCGACAGGCCGTTTGCATGAAACGTAGTGCGCTGTGGGATTTGGCCATTTTATCTCCGTTTTCAAGTTTTGTTAGATCTTGCCAAGTTTTGTATTACGTACTGTCACGTTTGTTGCGATCATCCATTTTACTTCGGCCTACTAGGTTTTTGATCCGCACCGTGACTGCCGTGGCAATTTTTTTGACAGTTTAAAAATCTGGCCCTGCATCCATGGCCTGTCACGTTTTCCCATTCCGTCTCTCCGCGATGTCTCACGTCCATACTGTTTTATCCAAGGTTGCCTGAAACGTGATTGCCATGGCCGGCGGGAACATAATATAAACCTAGCATAAAAAGCCAACAAAGTCAATCATCCTGTGAAGACACTCTGTTTGGAGACATAATATGAGAGAGCGACTATGGAGGGGGGGGGGGGGGAGTAATGAAATTCCCTTGGCATCATTTCATGAAAATTTAAAAAGAACAGGTTCACCAACATCCAATGAAATGTGTTAAAATTCAATTCTTGCATTTGAATGGGTTCTTGGAAAACTTGTACATCCTAATTTGTAGTGATACTTTTCAAAGTCTCTGACATTTCCCTGACTTGCAAATGGGGGATACATTTTCCAGATTATCCCTCGTTTCAAGGAAAACTGAGAAAAGTGTGCTCTTTATATTTACCTCATACTGCTCATCCAAAATTACCATGAGCCTACTAGTGTCTATTTTCACTGCATGGGGGAAATTAAAGAAAGAAAAGGATTTGGTTAATATTCTTTCAACTTTAATCTTAAGGCAGATTTATATCTGTAAAAGTGAAATATATAGCTAAAAATGTACCATTATTTTGAAATATGTAATTACCCATCAACCAAAATAAAAAAATAAAAAACACTATCTAATCAGTATATAAGAAACTGTTGTCTGGCATCTTTCCAGATATTTACACTATTTCCTTGGAAATCATAGATGAAGTATGAAAATGTCTTCCACGTTCATCTTTTGAACAATATAATTATGAAGGAGAACTATCAGGGTCGATGCAATTTAAATCACCTTGACCTCAATTTCACAAATTTCAAACCTCATGTTAACTTTTTATACCAAAATAGCAAATTCCTTCCTTTCAATGATGGGTTACTTTACAGGTAATGCAAAACATCATTATACCTCCAGCTATGCAAACAAGTTTTAATCACACATGACCTTGAGTTTTGTTTAAAGAAGAAAAAATTGAATATAATAATACCTTCTTTTCTTCAAATCACAATTTCAACAACCTTGAGAATACTATAAATGACACATTTCGTTTCAATTTTCTTTATTTGACTAAAACTGTTTGTGAGCTTCAAACCACAGCCTTGTCTAATATCTTATCACTTCAAACAATGAATACCATGAAAGCAGAAGTTTTGATTGCTTGAAGTAGCCAGGCTTTCAAACCAATCAAAGTCATGCTTATCAATCAAAAGAAATCAGCATAACTGAGTCTGGAGTTTGTAGATAATACCCTCTAATTTTCTTGAGACAGGAATGGGAGGATATAGCGAGAATAAAGTCCATATTTTTGTCTTAAAAATCAACAATATGCACCAAGAAATGCAAATTTTTTACCAAATTCATCACTATGTATTATCTTTCCAGAATACAACTGTATGCTGTGAGAAGTACTACCTGAAACAGGTCCAATCTATTATTTGCAATTGCCGCTGATGGGTAAAACAGCTTATCATGGTCAAACACAAATTGGCAATTTAAAGGTGTATCTTGCAAGGTTCATTCCCATTTGCTCTGTACTAAAGAGAATCTTAGACACATACACATACATGTATCTGGTTACATTTCAAACGTGCAGCTCCTGGACGTAGGACTGAACACATACTTGCAATGGCTGCATGAGTCACCAAGTTCATCACATAACACGGCCAAACATGCAGATTGTATTGGACATGTCCAACAGCCTCCTGCAGCCACTTGCGTACTCCAGCTAGCCTGCAAAAAAAGGAAAACATGCAGACCCCAACGCCCAACACAGGGATATTTTACTGAAGTCATTTATTTGGTACAGTGTGTCATTATATACATCCAGTGGTGGCTATAGCAACATACTTACATACTATTGCTGCATCGGTTTTCTCCTTTCTCAAACGAAACTTCTTAACCAGCGATTTTACTTCCGGGTCCAAGTCACACACTTTTATTTTCGCTGCCTAAAAAGAGAAATTAAAAATTCTATATCAATTATTAATATGCATCAAACTATAGAGCAATCTTTCAGCATCATTACCCTCACCTTCTTTTTTTTCGTGAAGTTAGCTTCAAATTGGCAACACAAAATCAGTCTTTTCTGTATTCCATAATTTACCTCAACCTGACCATCACTAGAATTACTATGCTAACCCCGGTCAGGAGTCAACGTTTTTGTAATGTAGATGATATTGCATGTGCCATATCAGTTCAAAATCAACTGGAACATGAGGAAGATGAGCAAAGCTCTATCACTCCTGTAATAAACTAGCGCATTTTCCTTAATTTTGGTCACAAGTAGAATTAGAATCATCCGCTCTGGACAGTAAAATGCCAAAGCCAAAGGTAGAGTAAAGTTCCCAGGAGGCTACTTCAGCATGAAAAAGCTAACAATTCTAAAAATACCCATCCAATATTCAAAACGTCAACAATTCCTAACAAATCTTTAAGTGAAAATGAAAATGTAAAAATTCACATAGAAACACGTGTTGTAAGTCACTTTTTGCTAGAAAAAACAAAAAAGTCCAAACTGAAAAAAAATCTATGTAATTTAAATATGTCAAAATTCACATAGAAACGCGTGTTGTAAGTCACTTTTTGCTAAAAAAACAACAACACACAAGTCCAAAATGAAAAATATCTATTTAATTTAAATATGTCAAAATCCCATAGACACGCGTGTTATAAGTCAGCCGTTCTCCATAATAATAGCTTCCATTCATTTTGTACACGTGATATTCCCTTTTTTCTCCATTGATATGCGTGTTATAAAAAAACTTCCATTCATTTTGTACACGTTTTACACCATCAAAAAAAAAATCCAATATTCTGAAGACCCATGTATTCTCATTGACCCTGTAATTTTTTCCCCATTGACTTTAACACTAAATACAAACACATACAAACAAACACGCTCGCGTGCACATGCACGCACACACACACACGCACGCACACGCGCACACACACACGCGCGCGCACAACACACACACACACGCACACAATATATATATATATATATATACACTTGCACAACACACTCACGAACTCATACACAAAGATCGTTTGAACACTTTTTCATTTTAAGGTTTACCTTAAAGGTAAAGACCAGTTATGGTCATGCGATTGCATTGTGAAAGAAACGTTGTAGAATCGATCAGAAAAGGTTGATCATCTAGCATCTAGCATCTGCAAGGTTCTGGAATCATCAAAATGATAAGAAATTTGGCCCATTCTTCGTAAAGTTACAAGCACTATACACAGAAAGATGTATATGGGACTACCCTATATCTCTCACAGACCATGAGAGAAACAAATTTACCAAATATATGAATTAGTAGGCGGTTTCCCGGCAAATTTGTTATCATCATGTATTAGTCAAAACATATTCTTTCACATGATTGGTAATGAGAGCTTCCATTTCATTTTTTGAAATTGGGGCGTTTCCAATACTGGTCTTTACCTTTAAGATTTTTTTTTCTTTTTTTTGAGGCCGCCATCCAAATACCCAAACGCACTCCCTGTACCACTCTTCCTTGTTATTCAATGATTATTTTTAATGATTCTTAATGATTAATTTAATGTAATAGATCATTGAGTTTTAAATGGGGCCAAACTTGACTAGTTACATAACAATGTAGGAGGGAAAGAGAGGTTATCTCTAAAATGAAATGAAAGGACTCTTGGAATAAAAAAAAACACCCTTTCATTTCATTTTTAGAAATAAACTCTAATCCATCCCTTGATATTTAAATTGCACTGCTCCTACTGTGTGCTTTCTTTTCACACTCTCCCTGATCTATAAAGGGTGCTTTCTTTATTTGATCATCAAAAGAAACAAGATTCTAGGCCACGAACTTTTCGGAGCGTGACCAGATTCAAAGTATGCTTAAATGGGGGCATTGATGTATGTACAAAGACAGGATTAAGATCCCATGCAACGCTTCGAAATGTAAAAGAAGAATAAGAAAAATAAAGTTGATGATTCGACCTTTATGTCTAGACGTGCTTAATGCATTTCGGATTGGTATTATCTTCCATCTGAGAGTGATAATAGACGTTATTTATATGGATAATAAAGATAAAGCTGTCCGGGTTTTTGAATTTAATGCCTTAAACCAAACCGACCAAGCTGTTTATTTCTTTATTTAGGGTCTCTTTCTACTGTTTATTCATTTTTCATTGGCAACCCTCGAAAACGATTTTTTTTTTTTTTAAATGCATTTCACGGAGGAAAGTGTGCGTAAGAGAACTTCAATCGAATTTCCTTCTAAACGGTTTTCTATTCACTAAAATGATGCTCAAAAACTATCTTTAAAAAAAAAACAGGGAAATATATTGTTGAGCTATTCGGTAAGGCAGCCAAAAGTTATGATTATCTTTCGCTTAATATTGTAAGAGCACTCTTTTTTTCCCCTTCTTTTTTAGCCAATATTGGAGGGGACTTTTAGCGGTGACTCAGCCAGCCGGTGAATAAGCGGGGGAGGGGGGGGGGGGGGGGGGGGGGGGGGGGTAAGAGCTCTTTTTTCATAATTCGTGAGAAAATTCTCCTTTTTAAAAAACTTTTTGTTATACACGTAAGGGGGACTCGGACTACGAGGAATATATAGACAGTTTTATAGTGTTTAGGGTCATATTTTTGATCATATTCAATTTACCTAGAGGTGTTAAATGAACATTTGCTGTTATAGTTTATCGCTAATATCAAAAGAATCTGACTTAAAACACGATAAAACTGTTGATATATTCCTCGTGGTGCGAGTTCCCCTTGCGAGTTAAGATCATCAAATTTCCCAAAGGACGGGACTTACACCACGAGGAATATACTCCTGATTGATTGATTGATTTATATTCGCCAAGCTTCCAACATACAACAATATACAAGAATAACAGATCAAAATGAAGTCAGCTTGAACAGGATAGCCCACGCAAACTCGAGAGCTTATTTTCAAGTGGGGTCCCCGACAGTCATGTATAAAATTAATGAGTTAAAGTAGTAATATTTACAGACAGATAAGCAAAAAAACTTTTAAAGATAATATTAACAACTTTAAATTGATGATAGAAATGATAATAAGTACAGGAAGAAAAAGAAGAAGAAGAAGGCTCTGAGCCAGAATCGTGCCTGGAGGAGCCAGAGAAGTGAGCATAAACAGTACACCGTGGAACTGCGATTACGATGAGCCTTTACGATGAGCGTTTCAAATCGCTCATTCTGCCTTCAAAATTGAGCATAAACGTACCCTAAGAGGCTTAACGGACGAAAGAGACAGAAAATTCGGGCTAGCTCAGCACCTGTCGGTGCCGGGGCGTGTCTTTTTTTCCCCGTAAGGTTTTATCCTGTCGCTGCATTTGATTGGCTCAATAGGACCTATACGTCATGCGCTAGTCATCAATATTCATGATACGCACGCACACAGAATCTGATGCGATAATTTATCAAATATGAGATTTCATACAAAAATTACAAATGCAAAGCTAAGTTTAGTCTACTTTAAATAAGTGATATTGCGACAAAATCGGGAGGCTTACCGTAAACGAATGACTACCCAGGTCGTAACTTCTCCATAATCATTGCGATATACTGGTTAATTTAGTCCAGAATCTGGCCGATTTAATTTTGAATTTGATCTCCACCTCACCGTACCAACGCAAATATTCATAGGGTCTATATTCAAATATTACCTTCCGTAATAGAGACGCTGTCGGGGCGGGGCAGCCAGGCTGCAGCTGTGCTGGTACATTGTAGGTACCCTCGCCGCCTCAGTAAGTAAGTTCTACGTATTTTTTTAAAGTCATGTTGTGATCTAAATACCATTTAATACTCACTACACTGACACTCACTAATGTCTTTGAATTCAACAGATCTTAATTACATAATAACATACCATACTGATAATCTTATCCGAGACAAGTTAGACGACAAAAAAAAAACACCAAAACGCCTCCAAAATCCAGAAGTCCAAATACAATGGTAGCATATATTGGCACCAAGATTAGTGGTCATATGAATTTGCATTTTCCCTACTTCACAGACGTGCGGCGTGCGTACTTTCTCTTATTCACATGTAATAGCAGGCGCGTACGCAGGGTGGGGGGGGGGGGGGGTTGGGGTTAAACGCCCCCTTGATCTATTGTTATGTGTATGTTTTTGGGATACCCCCCCCCCCCTTTTGAGTGTTTTGTTTTATTTTTGTTTTTAAATAAAAACTTATAGATGACCTAAAAAAGATGACCTTACCCTCCCCCAACGGAACGGAATGTCGATGGGCCAAAATTTCGAATTTCGGGACCCCCCCCCCCCCCCCCCGAGTCGTTGCGAAATTTTTGACCCAATTTTAACCCCCCTCCCCCTTGAAAAAATCCTGCGTACGCCACTGTGTACTAGTACACGAGGACGTTTGTAAGCATTAGTATATGGAAGGCCATCGCCGCCATAAACTTAACTAGTAACGTAATCACTAAGGAAACAATAACGTACGCTTAGTAGCCAATGATTTTGCAGAGTAGTGTTTGCGTTACTTAACAGTTACGATACTAAGACGATGTAAAGCTAACGTATACTAATTTTTAACATTATTTTACCAACGTAAGCTCTTTAGTTTTCATCAACGCAATTGCCTATCTAATTTAGTACCGTAAGTAAAACACAATAATGTTAACCAATCATACCCCTCATTGCATGTCATAGAAATTACATGCAGCGCGCTAACCGATCTTTATTTCTATGCTATAGCTAGCTAGAGATCGGTGATGCAGTCGTGATCGCAGATATGCATTATCATATCTACCACGTGCATGTTCGTTCTCAATTTTTTAATCGCTCCGCAATATTTGCTTTTTAACTTAATTACTATACTAGTATATATCACGAGTATACCTGGTACCAAATGGGCATTCTCGTGATATAGTTGCGAGGCCTGTATCACGAGCAAACTATACGAGACTACTACAGACCCCGCGCAGC